ACAACAGCTTCAAATATACCCCTTCTACATCTCTAATTGTCTCTCAAGCACGTCTTCTATGTTCGACTCCTCAGCTTCTCCAAGCGAAGCCACCTGTGACCTCAACAAACCCAACTACTCGGTCAGCCCCGGAACCAAAAGAAGAGGAGGAGGACAAGGGCTTTGAATTGTCCGAGCGAGCAGCCCAGGCAGCGCAGGTCAACATGAGTGCCAGATTGGCCAAGGATGGCGCATCGGGGAAAAAGTCCGGATTTGCAGAAATCTGGCGGCTTCTGAAGATCGCGCGCCCCGAATCCAAGGCCCTCAGTTTCGCCTTCTTTTTCCTTCTAATCTCCTCGTCGATCACAATGGCAGTTCCCTTCTCCATTGGTAAAATCATAGACTCTGCGACCAAGAGTGTAGCCGAAGGAGGCGGAGAATTGTTCGGCATGAGCATGCCCATGTTTTACACTGCTCTCGGTGGAATTCTACTTCTCGGTGCTGGTGCAAACTACGGGCGCATCATAATCCTTCGAATTGTTGGTGAGCGAATCGTTGCCCGGCTACGCTCCAAGCTTTTCCGTCAGACCTTCGTGCAAGATGCTGAGTTCTTTGATGCCAACCGGGTCGGTGATTTGATCTCGCGCCTTAGCTCCGACACTATCATTGTTGGAAAGAGTATCACGCAGAACTTGTCCGATGGCCTACGAGCTGCTGTTAGCGGTGCAGCTGGGTTCAGTCTGATGGCCTATACTAGTGCAAAGCTGTCCATGATCTTGCTTGTGTTGCTTCCTCCAATTGGCCTCGGCGCGCTCTTTTACGGTCGAGCCATCAGGAACCTCAGTCGCAAAATCCAAAAGAACCTAGGAACGTTGACTAAGATTGCGGAAGAGCGCCTAGGCAACGTCAAGACCAGTCAGTCGTTTGCCGGTGAAGTTATCGAAGTCAACCGGTACAACAAACAAGTCCGCAAGATCTTCGAGCTTGGCAAAAAAGAGTCTCTGATTAGCGCAACCTTCTTCAGCTCGGTGAGTCGGCAGTCTCCATTCTTTTGGGCTTTCTCTTTCTGCGATTTTGACTGACTTCTTACTAGACTGGTTTGATGGGTAATATGACCATTTTGACCTTGCTGTATGTTGGCGGTGGGATGGTTCAGTCAGGTGCTATCAGCATCGGAGAGTTGACTTCATTTTTAATGTACACTGCTTATGCAGGCTCCAGCATGTTCGGCCTCTCGAGCTTCTATTCAGAGCTTATGAAAGGTGTGGGTGCGGCGAGTCGACTCTTTGAGCTGCAAGATCGTCAACCCACGATTCATCCAACGAAGGGTCTCAAAGTTGAAACTGCGCGTGGACCCATCCGATTTGAGAATGTCACGTTCAGCTACCCTACCCGTCCTGCTGTGAAGATCTTCCAAGAATTGAACTTCGAGATCCCGCAAGGAACCAACGTTGCCATCGTTGGGGCATCTGGTGGAGGCAAGTCTACCATTGCATCCATTTTGCTCCGCTTCTATAGCCCCAATGAGGGTCGGGTCTTGATCAACGGGAAAGATATCAAAGAAATGAACGCCAAGTCCCTTCGCAGAAAGATTGGCGTGGTTTCCCAGGAGCCTGTACTCTTCTCTGGAACAATCGCCGAAAACATATCCTACGGTATGCCTCGGGCAACACGCTCGGAGATCATTGCCGCTGCACGCAAAGCCAACTGTCAATTCATCAGCGACTTCGTAAGTCTGCCAAGCAGCTATCATTTCCATGAACCTAGCTAACCTAATACAGCCTGATGGGCTCGATACTCACGTTGGAGCTCGTGGAGCTCAGCTGTCCGGTGGTCAGAAGCAGCGCATTGCCATTGCTCGTGCCCTTATCAAGGAGCCTGATATTCTGATTCTTGATGAAGCCACTTCCGCCCTCGATGCCGAATCTGAGACCCTTGTCAACAGTGCATTGGCCGCTCTTCTTCGTGGAAACAACACGACAATTAGCATTGCTCATCGTCTTTCCACTATAAAGCGCTCTGATACGATCATTGTCCTTGGCAACGACGGCAAAGTGGCCGAGCAAGGCTCCTACGATGAGCTCAGCTCAAACCCGGATGGCACCTTTACAAAGCTCATGGAATGGCAAATGAGTGGCGGCGAAACAACGCCCCCACCCCTTCCGGGCAAGCCTATTGAGGTAGATCAGCTCTGGGAGCTCCAGAAGGAGGAGTCGGAGTCTGAGCTAGAGGAAGAGGAACTAGAGGAAGTAGAGGAGACAACCTCCCCGAAGAAGGACTAATCGTACTCCACACCTCGTCCACTCCCGACCATACCCTAACACTACCATCTCATTACGATATCTGATCATTCTTGTCGAATTTTCTTTGTTGAAATACATGTTTCCTCATCTACACTCACCTCTCACGGTCCTCTCTTCTCATCTCCCATACACATCCTGCATGTTGTATCTTGTGATAGACTCTAAGTCGGCAGCGACTGTACATATTCTGATAGCAATATTATTATTGAGTCCTAATTTGGTTGGTCTGTTGTTATCATCTCTGTTCTGGCATGATAGAAAGAAAAGAAAAGAAAGGAAAAGAAATTCTAACATCTCATCTCAGCCTGTTTTTCCTGGCACAACTTTTATTTTTTTATATTTCTCAGAAAGGTTTTTTTAGTTAAGACATAACATTTTCACTATTAGTGCGGGAGTTCAAATCTCCCTTGGGTTAAAAATAAAAGAATCAGAAGGAAGAATTGTTGAACATTCGAAAAGTTGCATAACAACTTTGAATGTACTCTGTACCCAGTAATTACTACAAGCCCTGGAGGGTATGGCGGTTGTACAGAGATCGCCCGCCTGATAGGGTCCCGTGTAGCCTCCGCGCCCGGGCGACATATCTTGCTTAGTAACCAGTCATATGCGCGGGCGCCCTGACTTCAATAGCTCACTCATCAACTAGTCACAGCTCTTTGCTATGAGATAATCCCCTTATTTCTACAGAATCTATTGCTTATCCATAAGAAGTTAGTGTTGGAAAAGACAGCCATGAACCGCATACGTAGTCTCATCGCCCGTCCCGCGGCGTATGAGCGACTACAGGACTCCGCCGCAGACGACGCCGATGAGACAACATATACGCAACGAGCCCAGCAGTCTCCCTTTTCAAGATTACAGTATGGCATATTCTTCCTACTTGGGGTGTCTATGCTGTGGGCCTGGTAAGTGGAACTCAATCATCTCCAAATTGGGACCCGGAGGAACAAGCTATATGCGTTAGGTCAATCATGAAACTAACGTGGAGCACAATCTAGGAACATGTTCCTTGCCGCGGCGCCATATTTCTACAGCCGATTCCAGTCGGATGACTGGACAAGGCTACACTACCAACCATCAATTCAGTCCGTGTCAACCGTCACCAACCTCGGATCCGCCTATGTCCTAGCCAAGCTACAGAAGAACGCCTCCTATCCACGGCGAATAACATTTTCGCTGTTGATGAACTCTGTTGTGTTCACCATTTTGGCCTTCTCCGCAGTTGTTATGACTGATTCCTCGCCGCGGGCATACTTTGGATTCCTGATGGTGATGGTGTGTGCTGCAAGTCTGGCCACTGGTATCAACCAGAATGGCGTCTTTGCATACGTCTCCGGTTTTGGCAGAGAGGAATATACCCAGGCTATTATGAGTGGACAGGGTGTTGCTGGTGTGCTGCCTTGCATTGTTCAGATCTTCTCTGTGCTAGCTGTGCCGCCGAAGGAGGATAGCGTTGGTGGAGACCAAGGTCAAGATCAAGGCCCCAGCATGCCTCAGATAAGTTCGTCGACCTCTGCATTTATTTACTTCCTTACGTCTACGGGAGTTTCGGTCATTGCTCTGCTAGCCTTCCTATATCTTCTTCGACAACAACCTTCTTCGAGGCAAAAGTTGGTAAGAGATGACGATGAGTCTATTGCGGATGACCATGAACATTCCAAGACCGTCAGCCTCTGGACCTTGTTCGTTAAACTGCGATTTCTGGCGTTCGCTGTATTCGTCTGTTTTTTGGTTTCTATGGTGTTCCCAGTCTACACAGCGGAAATAATGTCCGTCAATAACCCTGCCAGCTCACGGATCTACGATCCTAGTGTGTTTATTCCCTTGGCGTTTTTGATTTGGAACCTGGGTGACTTGGCTGGGAGAATGTGTGTGGCCATTCCAGGAGTGTCTTTGGGACAGCATCCTCAAATGGCTGCTATTGTGGCCATTGCCCGTGTAGTTTTCATTCCCATGTACCAGCTCTGCAACGTCAACGGCCAAGGAGCTGCCATCAAGAGTGACATTTTCTATTTCCTTGTACAGTTCTTCTTTGGTGCAACCAATGGGTATCTGGGGACAAGCTGTATGATGGGTGCTGGTCACTGGGTTGTTGCCGATGAAAGGCCAGCTGCTGGTGGATTTATGAGCATGGTTCTTGTTGGTGGACTGGCTGCTGGAAGCTTGTTGAGCTTCTCTGTTGCCAGTGGTTGATTTCGGTGTCTTATAAGTTCTTTTTAACTTGTGTTCATCTAGTAGACTCCCCAATATAATGAATGATGAGCCATAAAAATTCTTCTATTACTTGATCTCACCATGAGTACTCCTTTGTTAGGTGACCCGTCCTTTAATGTGGCCCTGTTTTCTGTTTGAGTAGAAGAAGCCCTAAGTTGACACTTCAAGTCGAAGTTTGCCGGCTGTTACCATCGCATTTTCAATCACTCTTCAACCCCCACAAGTCAATTGGACTCTAACAATCTCCCCCAAACAATCCCTTACTATTTTTCAGCTCCCTGGCAACTCCTACTGTAAGTCTCTTGTCATCCCATCTGCCGTTTGCCCACCCAGGTCCCCTCCTCATTTCTTTCGTCCTTCGCCTCTCTTCCTCCTCTCTTCCCTCCCCCACACAGTTTGCTCTTTCGATTGTTGTATTTTGATTTCTGTCGCTTCAGTTGTCCAGTCAGACTAACCTCCATGGATATCTTTGCTCCTGTATCTTACAGTCGTTAGTTGTTCATGATGGTTTTCGATTTCTTGGCTATGGGCGGCTGGCGCCCTGCCCTAGCTGTCCCCTCATTCTGGAGTCTGCTGAGTGGACTCTTTGCTTTGGTGAGTACTGATATGCAAGAACGTATCTAGGATAGTGTGTCTCATCTCGATCAAAACTACAGCTGTGTGTCTACTATGTTGGCTGGATCATCCACACTCTTTGCTTCCACCCTCTGAGTGGCTACCCTGGACCCAAGTTGGCTGCCATCACTCCTTTGGTTCATCTCATCTGGGACATCCAGGGTAAGCAGCACTCGACCATGAAGCGTCTTCACGACAAGTATGGAGATGTCGTTCGTATTGCCCCAAATGCCCTCGTTTACCGTGCCGCAACCGCCTGGAAAGATATCTACGGTCACCGGAAGAAGGGACACCAGGTCTTCATCAAGGATCCGGCCTTGTATGCACCAACTCCCAACGGCGTGAATGCAATTATCACAGCCAATGAACACGACCATTCCCGCATGCGCCGTTTGCTGACCCATGCCTTCTCCAACAAAGCTCTGGGCGAGCAGGAAGAAATCCTCCAGATGTATGCCGGCATGTTTATCGACAAGCTCAAGGGTCTCATGGGTAACGCTTTGTCCCAGGACATTGATATTACCTGCTGGTTCAACTTCACTACCTTCGACCTCATTGGCGACCTTGCTTTTGGGGAACCCTTCGGCTGCCTGTCAAACAGCAAATATCACTGGTGGGTTCGAATCATTCTGGATGCCGTCAAGGCAAGTGCCTATCTCAAGATCTTTTGGTTTTACCCATTTCTCGTCCCCTTGGTGCAGGTCCTTGTTCCCAAGCACCTTCTCCAGAAACGTCAAGCAAGCTTCGACCTGAGCGTCGAAAAGGTCCGTCGTCGTCTCGCCCTGGGTGCTACTCGCCCTGACTTCACTTCATACATACTTAAGCACTCCAAAGATGGAAAGGGCATGTCGGCTGAGGAGATGGATGCGAACTCCGCAGTGTTCGTCCTAGCTGGCAGCGAGACTACCGCTGCCCTACTCTCCGGTGTGACATACTACCTTCTGCGCTACCGTGACAAGTATGAGCGTCTGATTCAGGAGATTCGTGGTACCTTCGAAAAAGACGCTGATATCAAGCTTTCCGCCCTCGTGGAGCTCCCATACCTCAACTCTGTCCTGACTGAGGCGATGCGCATCTACCCGCCTATTCCTTCGATGCTTCCGCGAGTTGTTCCCGAGGGAGGAGCAATGATCAACGACCGATATGTCCCTGGAAATGTGAGTGCAAAATACTGATCCTGATGCTGGTGCGTGGTGTTTTGTGGTCAATATGCAGGGTGCATGGAGCTCGTTCTAGAAAAGACAGTTCCACCTTCGCTATTCCCATCTCAACACAAAACCCAATCCAATTTCAAAGCATTCTCAATACTAACAACAGTTAAATACAAACAGGTCTCTGTCTCCGTCTCCCTGTTCTCTGCCTTCCATGCCGCCTCGCACTTCAAGAACCCCGAGGCATTCGTTCCAGAGCGCTGGCTGAGTGAGTCTAACGAGTACGTCAACGATAAGAAGGAAGCCTTCCAGCCCTACTCCTACGGCCCGCGCAACTGTCTCGGCCAACAGTAAGTACACGTTTTATTACTATCTACTCACTCTATCCATGTTTTCGCCTGAGCTATACATGACAGTGTTTGCTAACGTTTCATTTACAGCCTTGCCAACGCTGAAATGCGTCTGCTGCTCGCCAAGCTTTTGTGGAATTTCGACCTGGAGCTGCTCCCGGAGTCTCTGCACTGGATTGACCAGAAGTCCTTCTCGCTCTGGAGCCGCCCTGAGTTGAAAGTCAAGCTCTTCCGCGCCGGCGCTAGACCCGCGTTGTAATTTTTTTTCACATTTACGACACGAAGCAATATTGCAACACTTCCTTTTTTTACTACATATCCCGTTGGGACAGATCGTTGTCTCGACTGTGGAAAAGCATGGGGCCGAAAAGCGTTTGTGTTGAAGACTTTGCAATGGCGTTTTCTTTTTTGTCTTGGGGTTGCGGCTGGGCTGTTTGTTTCGTCCTCCCTGGGATCTCGAACATAATATGCAAAAGGTTGGAGAGCTCTGGGTGGACCTTTTGACTAGAATAGAAAAAAAAAACAAATACATACTCATGTCAGAGCATAGTCACTTGGCCGGAAGCCGACAGACAGTTCATGATGGCTGTGGCATGCTCCCGACAAACGATTTAACTTGATCACTCAGGTAGTTTGAAGTAAAAGTAGAGTCATGTGTTCCGCATAAAATGTAGAAAATGAAGATATTGAATATGAAAGTTCCTTATGCTGGCGATCTCTCCAAGGTAGTGGTAATGTACCTTATATTTAAACACCCAGTCCCAAACCTGCAATAAGTAAGCAAATAATACCTCCTAACCATGCAAATTACAAAATCCATATAACTCCCCAGTATGCTGATGCTTTTCGTATACCAAAGGATCATTAGAAAAAGTCTTCTTCACCCAGCCATTGCGAGTCCATCGCATAGGCCACCAAATCCGCGGCGCAACACATGTCTTCATGTCCATGCTCCAGATCGAGAAGTTCGAGAACGGCTTTTAGCCTGCCCTCCAGTGTTTGCTTGAGCCGCGAGATGCCAGCCTGTACGTCCTTGGTCTGTCTCTCCTTAACGAGAGATCCAGCAATGCTTTGGTCTTTCTCTTTGCCTGCTTCCAGTTTCGAAGCCATCTTGTTGGGCGAGCAAGGTGCAAGGGCCTTTCGCTGTGGCTGTGCAGCCGATGTTTCTGGTTTGCGGTTCTTGAAAAGACTCTGAAGCAGGAAAAGTAGCCAGATTAAGTTGGTACGAGGGGAGTACTCTGCCCAGATGCCAGGAATGTCCGCCACCTTTTCTGTTTCTATGGGGCAACCGGTATAGAGTGTTGCGCGCATACTGATTTCCAACGTTAGCAGGCTGCTTAAGAAATGGGCAGACATGGGTAACGTACTATCGGTAGGTGTTTCTTTGCATGATTTCGTCTTCGTCTTGGCCTATAGCATCGAACAATTGCTTCTTGTCAAGGTCTGACGACGCAACCTCAGTGAGACCGGTTGGATCATCGGTTAAGAGTAGGTCTGCCCGAGACAGCGAGTAGTCGATGATAGTGGTTTCAAGGGAGCTGAGTCCAAACCCACTGGATGATGGTTTGCGTGCAATATCGAGTTCTGTGGGGGGTTCCATGCAGTCATCTTCCCGTGTAGAACGTATACAAACATTTCCCAAATGAAGATCTCTATGTTCGAACATAGCATACTCCTCTGCCCGGGCCAGGGCCATGGCAACTCCCCAGAATATATCATAGATCTGGAAAATCGATGACCAAGCGAACTTCTCCAGTTCGCATCCCGCATCATCCATCTCAACAATTGCCCATAGCTGCGTATCCGGGTAAGCTCTTTTGTTGGACGGGTTGGGATTGATGCAGTCGTCTTTGGTCTTCTTGTAGTGGTCCCATGCATTTTGGAAGGACTCTGGGAAACGACCTTGAACAACATGGATCTCTCTGAAACGAGCAAAGCCAGGAATCGGGTCTAGATACTTGAGCATTTTGACCTCAGAGACAATTTCATCAATGGTGGTGAATTTTTTGGATCCGGGACCACTCTTTGCTCGCAGAGGCACGACCTTGAACACTCCATCGCCATATGATTTGAGTTTAGCCAACTTTGATTTTGACACCACTGGCCTACAGGCTTCTTCCCGCAGGTGAAGTTTGTAGACTTCACCGTAGGACCCCTCTGCGAGTTTTGCGACGTCGAACATGTTTGCTGATCGTGAAGCCCATGAGCCGAACTTCTGAATGCCCTGCGCGGCAATTGGAGATAGTGCTTCAGTTAGAATTGCGCCAACATAAGTGCTGGCTTCACTGTCATGAACAACTCCAGATGACCGTCTGGATGCAGGAATCTTCTTCCTTTCTGCTCTCCTTCTGTCACAAGATGCACTTCGCTTTTCTCGATCCTGGCTTATGGACTCTGATGTCGTAGCCGGAGAAGCCGATTTGATTTGAGAAAAATTTTCTAGAGCCTTCGAGCATATTCTGACCTCCACCATCGTTTCGCATTTCTTTAGTTTTGGCTCCGCCTCTAGAGAGGATTCGATCGATGATTGCGTTGTCGGGGTGTCCGAAATGTCCTCTATTGTAGACGGACTTGATTCATCACAAGGGATATTTCCCAACTCTTGCTTCTGCTCACTCTCCATCTTTGGAGGCTCTGCATGGTTGTCTGGTTGAGGGATCGAGTCATCATTGATCGTCACTTGGGCTAGTTTCGCTTGAAGACTTTCCACGGGGTCGACATGTTGGAGTTTGAATCTGATATCTCTAGCCGGGCTTCCGTCAAATACTGCCCTGGGGGCATTGGCTCTGCTTTTTCCGTACACTCTGCGCTGAGCTACCGACTTTGATTTGGATTGTTTGGGCTCCATTGGTGTCGCGTGACTTGAAACTGGCGAGGGTGACCGGGTTGACATCGTCGAAGGAGATTTTTACACCCAGTATATTTATCTGAGTGTGTAATATCTGTGCTAGAGGAGCTGGGATGGTTCTCTTCGACAGAATGAGGTCAAAAAAGACGATCTGGGGCAGAAGTGATGGGTCGTGTTGACGTTTGGCCTAATCGGGATTAGCGCAGGGTTGCTGCGGTGAAGACATTCTGCCTTTCCAAGGTCTCTGGACTTTATATTGTAGAATAGTCGTCGACCGCTCATGCTTCTGTCCTTGACGACTTAAGTTGTAGGTAGTTTGACCTATCACATGTGGAAAGCTATATGCAAGAACAATTCGACGTGTCTTCAGATATTCTTTTTAGATGTATAGGAAGGCGGCAAAAAGCATATACTTTTTACACTGTTACGCCTTTTCTATGTATAATCTTTGACTGTTATATATGGAGTACTTCATTTGATATTGCTTTGGATTATGGATCATCGAATGCATACATATATAAGAAATCTTGGTGCAGTTACACTAAGACAGAAAGATTTGGGATATGTTAAGAGTTCAGTCATGGTATGATCTAGAATATATTTACTCCAGATTTGCCATTTCATACGAGGGATACACTTTTTCATTTCACTGCTCTGATATTATATATATTGAGACAATGGACTTTATCTCGGAAAATTTCCCTTACATCGTACATCGAACGTGGAACTTGGACATTTGAAGATCTACACCCCCGTAGCTGTTTCTACACCTTCGTTCATAAACATATCCCGTGTTTCCCCCCCTTTCTCCAGATTTCGGACAAAAATAGTCATGAAATAGTCGATAGTCCAAGAGGTCTAGGTGTATGCAAGCCGGGTATCCCTGAACGGTGAATGGCCCAATATCATCCACTGTGGACATTCAAGCCGGGGCTGACCGGAAGTGGTTCCTGCAAGTCACATTGTGACGTACTGGCCATATAGTATCGGGTTAAAGGAGATATACAAACATAAAGAAAAGAAAAGAAAAAAAGCCGTTAGAATGATACATCCAATTTTGAAAGAAAAAAGAGTGTTCCAATAAGAAAAAAAAGAAGAAAAACAAAAAGAAAACAAGAAAAAAAGAAAAGTCCTCAAGTGGCCCGGAAGCACGCGCCTCTCGGGTTTGCCATTTTTTTCCTGGTTTTTTCGTTTTCCGCCTCCCGCCTCATCCTCTTACACACACTTCGACTCTCTAATGTCCTTCTAATATCTTTTAATACTATTCTCTCGATGCTTGGGCATGGCGTTCAACTTCAACTGGTCGCCTTTGATGGCGGACGCGAATTTTTACACTCGCGCCCAAGATCTGCTCACTGCCGCCCTTAATAAATCTCCGAAACCCCCCATAATCGTTGACGATATTCACGTCACTGAGTTGAACTTGGGATCCATCCCCCCAGAACTCGAGATTTTGGAAATCGGTGACTTGGCCGAAGATCGATTTCGAGGCATCTTTAAGATGTCCTATACTGGCGATGCCTTTCTCACATTGAAGACCCGAGTCCAGGCGAATCCACTAAATACCTTCCTCCTCACACGACCAACATTCGCCTCGCCGGTACCTCTTGCGGCAGCGTAAGTCTTCAGTTTTACTTGTCTCTCTCGGATATATTTGCTCACACTGTCGCGATTGTAGTACCCCGCTCACCATACCTCTACAAATTACCCTCTCCGACTTCAAACTCTCTGGATTCGTCATACTAGTTTTCTCAAAACAAAAAGGAATTACAGTCGTATTCCGAAATGATCCGCTTGAGTCGCTCAAGGTTTCCTCGACCTTCGATTCGATCCCATTCGTACGCGACTTCCTACAAAAAGAAATCGAGGCTCAACTTCGGATATTGTTCATGGACGAGCTCCCCGCCATCATTCATCGACTGTCACTCCGGTTGTGGGTTCCGGAATATCGCACAGGGGAGGAAATGAACGACGAGACCGATAACACAGCCAAGTCAAGAAGCGAAGGCCCTGGCCAAGATCCTCTGGCTAGCCCGCCACAGGATCCCGTCGACTCCCTCGGAAATGCATTGAATGAGTCTGAAATTGCATCGCTCTCTTTGGATTCATCGGTCGAGACCCACTCCCTCTTTTCACAAAAGAACCTCCTTCGCTTGGCCGCTCTGACAGATTCACAACGTACCCTGTCCTTGTTCACTCCCTCGATCCAGGAAGTGGTGTACCGTGCATGGACCTCTCCCATTGATACCAGTGAATTCCCTTCGAGCGTGATCTCTCCACTGAGCCCGACCCTTTCGCGAACACACTCCCAAATGGGAAGCATGTCTTCGCTTCACGAAACCGCCAGCAATGCCTCCGCCCAAAGTCGACCCTCCATGTCTAGCCACTCATTCAGCACTAGTACCTATGGTCTCAGTCTCGGCGCTGGACGTCATTCCAAAGCCCACGCTCGGAAACGTAAGAAGCGTGTTGTGGATCTGCGTCGCCCCAAGACAACCGATGACGCTATGAGTGTAAGCGATGGGAGCGTCATAACCGAGTCGTCCAGACCCCCGTCTATCGCCTCGGCGCCTCTGCCCATTCTGAACGAACCGTCAGATGACCCAGTCACGCCACCTCTGTCACCCGAAGTCGACTCCCACTTGCCGATTATCCCCGAAAGACATTTTGCTAGCATTTCCCGCCCAACACGTCGGGATGGGGACCTATCATACTCCCATGAGACTATCCGTGGACCCAAAGCACAGGATGTGGAAACCACCCCTCGTGCCACTGTGAATGGTTATCCTCAGGAGAAAGTGGAGCCGGGATCGTCAACCAATCAGCGTCCCCCGTTACCTGCGACCGTTCTTCCGTTCCACAAGGACGAGAAGGCCAACAGCGAAAGCGTCGATTCCGTCCTGGTTGAGAGACTTGCCGGTGAAATCGCTCGTCGGATGCGTGAGGACAAGCTTATGACAAATGCATGCAGTGGTTTCTGGAGCCGCCAGCATGAAGACAGTCCTCCCCCGGCGTATGGCCACTGAGTGCTTGATTTCACCATATCTTTTCTACACTTGAGCAACCCTCAAGCATGACCGTTACGATTTCCCTACTTTTTCTTCATTTTCCTTGCCGTCTTGATCCTTCTCTTGTTCTTCCTTTTTCTTTTGAGCTGGATTGATGTTTCTTTAAAGCGGGATTGTATAAAATTCGGGTCTGTTATGATACAGCTGGCGTTGTGTTTTGTTTGGAGGTTTCATTTTTACATGATACCACACTCATTAGCCTTTTTTTTCTTTTTTCTTTTTTTGTATTTCTTATTTGAGGGTTGGGTTCTGGGTACCTAGACAAGATCGGATGGATATTTGGGGGTTGAATTATATGAGTTTCTCTTTGTTCCTAATTGTTCCCAATTGCTCCAATCACATAAAATCGTCTAAATCTCCGATGCGGGTCAAAAAAGCTGGAGACAGCGCTAGACCCGGGAGGAACTTAGCTCCGCACCGGGCACCGGCCACAGGGCATCTCTCGATTCCTTCCCACTCCTTTCCCTTCCATCCATCATATCAATTCCAATATGGCGGGCATGTTCAAGAACGTGTTTGGCTCCCAAGAGGCTAAGCCCGATGATGGTATGTTAATTGATCTATCTCAATTGCTGAGCTAATTCTGGTAGACTTCGCCGACTTTGTGGAAGCTCCCAACCCGTCGCCTGCGTCTCTCCTCGCCGACACGACCGCCGTCCCAGCTGCCAACACACTGGCTGCCAAGGCAGTTCCCTACACGGCCTGGTATCGGGTATGGGAGAGGACATCCCCTAGCGATTTCAAACAGGAGGCAATGATCATGCCCGTCGTCCTCTTGATTGTCCTCTTCCACCTGTGGGGAACGCGCAAGAACCGACGGAGGGCGAGGGACTGGGCGCAGGCCCATGGACCTTCTCTCCAGAAGGAGTTTGCCGTCGTCGGATTCGATGGGATCGCCCGACCGGCTGCTGCAGAGGGCGAAGCGATCACCGTGGAGCTCGCCAGCCCCGAGTCGCTGCTCAAGGAGAGATCTGCCTCCGAGTTCGCCGTGTATGCGACTGGCCGCCAGAACGTTGCCTTCCTCGATGTCAACATCAAGATGCCCAAGCGATACAACCCCATCACCTTCGTTATGGAATATGTCTTCAGCTTCTTCTTTGAGAGCTGGGAGCCCCCCGTTGAGAAATACGAGGCTCTGCTGTATGCTTTCGATGGCAAGGAGAAGGATCTGGTTCCTGTTCTCGCGAAGGATTCTGCTCCTGTTAAGGTGCCTAGCTCGACCTACGATGGCTTCATCTGGGCTGTTGTTCACAAGAGCCACATGCGCAAGTTCCGCAACGACCGCTACGATGCCTCTATCACTTTCTCCAAGGATAACCCCAAGCTCCCTTCGTGGGTCACCGTAATGACTGAGAGTGCCGAGATTAGCGATACCATCCTCACCCCGGAGTTGATTCAGGCAATTGAGCAGGCCGGTAATGACTTTGAGTACTTGATCGTGACGGACCAGCCCGTCGACAAACCTACCAAGTAAGTAGCTTCAGTTCGCTAACTTGATTAGATTTGTTGCTAATGAATGTGTGTCGCTAGGATTGACGAGACCATCCCTAAGAAGCGCATCCAGCTCTCTGCTAACCTCGCCTCCTCTGCGTCCGGCTATGCCTCCACCCTCCCTTTGTTCAACCAGTTCCTGCGCTTGTCCGACAAGTTGGTTGCATCTGCTCACTTCCGTAGCGAAGTGATGCGAAAGATCCGTAACGTCCGTGAAGAGGAGATCAAGAAGCTGCGCCGTGTTGAGGAGGATGAGAAGGCCGAGGAGCGTCGCATTGCCGCCGAGAAGATCAAGAAGGATGAGCGCGAGCGCATCCTGCGTGGTATGAGTGCCGACGAACAGCGCAAGTTCCTTGACCGTGAGTCTCAGAAGGAACAGAGACGCTTGGCGAAGAAGAGCACCCGGAAGGGCTAGACCGGTGTCTTTGTTCTGGAGGATTCTTATTCTGTCTTCTTGCTTCTTTCTGTGGGAAAGATGCGGGTTGAATGTCTTATCCTGCCCTTTTGATACCTTTTTAATTTGATGTATTCATATTTATTTTGGAAGATATAATATCTACCATGTGAGTGGGCATGCAATTTTCATAACGTTCAGCTGTACTTCGTATTCAATGCAGATCTTATGTTCAGATCATTACATACATATGTATGTGTCGAATTCAAATACCAGGAAGCTGCGAAGCTGCCCAAGTAGGTAGCTTTGCTGTCTCGTACTTGGGCAACCTTGGAACATCTCAACCTCACCCCATAAGATCAACAATCATTATTTTAATATATCCTTATATACACAGTGGAACTCCGTCCTCGTTCACTCATTCATCGCAACAATGCATTTCCTCACTTCTCTAGTTCTACTCACCTCAACCCTATCCCAAGCCGCTCCTACAGGAAACAATCTCAACACCAATACAATAACCAAGGCCATCCGCGCCTCCCCGATACCTGTTGGGACCCTAATCACCCACTGCACCACCCCAGGCACAATCGCCCTCACTTTCGACGATGGTCCATACATCTATACACCTCAGTTGCTAGATAATCTTGCCAAAAACGGGATGAAAGCAACTTTCTTCCTCAATGGCAATAACAGAGGAAGTATCGATGCCTCTTCTCAGATAGTCCAGCGCACCTTTGCAGAAGGACACCAGCTGGGGTCTCATACGTTCGTTAATACCACCCACGCACTCACCACCCTTCTCCCCAGTCCAGCCAGGCCCAATCAGTCCAAGTATGTTACGCTAACCGAATAATCTTGCAGATGGAACCACGCCTCCCTCGACACACTCCCATACGCGGAAATCGTGCAGCAAATGACAAGCCTCGAAGAGTCCTTCAAGCGCATCCTAGGCTTCTTCCCAACCTACATGCGACCCCCCTACCTCGTACAAACGCCCGCCGTCCTAGGCGCCATGGCGGATCTAGGATACCATGTCATTGGGGCCAGTGTTGATACGAAGGACTACGAGAACATTACACCGGATACGAATTGGATTAGTTTTGAGAAGTTCTCGAGGGAGGTTGATGCTGGCGGAACGATTGTGTTGGCGCATGATGTTCATCAGACTACGGTTGAGATTTTGGTGAATAATATGATTGCCGATGTTAAGAGGAGGGGATTAAGAGGTAAGTTTTTTTTTTTTTTTTTTTTTTTTTTCTTTTCTGTTTTGTCGGTGTTTATGGGTTGAAGCTAACGGGTTCGCGGTATAGCTGTTACTGTTGGCGAGTGTCTTGGTGATCCGTCTGAGTATTGGTATCGTGCTGGGAGGTAGATGGTGTATCTGAGTTGGGGGCTGTTCTATTCCCTAATTACCCTGGTTATTATTATTTCTGGGTTATTCTTTTCGGGTTATTATTCTTTTCTTTTTTTTTTGGACTTGGGCCAAGGGATGCCTGTGTATACCCCCAGGTTTCCTTGGAATTAATTTTACTTTATTCTTCACAAATAGGTTCTGAAGACATGCGCGCCTGGCCAATATAATTTTAGGTCATCAACCAGCTATTATGGTGGTCAATTTAGAAGTGGAACTGAGAAGACCTCTCAAACGAATATGCTACCAACAGACATTGTAGAAGAATATTAGATATAACGTCCCTTATATCATATTAAGGCAGATGAATCAGATTACTAGACTACCTCGTCAAGGACAGAGGCCAATTATGCAATCATTCCTGTGAAAATACATATACCCGGTCTTTTGTTGAACAGCGACCCCCAAGGATAGGATAGTCTTCAATTGTGACGAGATAAAATCTATATCCTCTGTAAACAAATTCAGACTAAAATAGGCCGTGGAAATCTGACATACAGAATATCTGGAGTTAATACGATTGGGCTGAAGGTGTTCGTCAGCTGCAGAGTAGATTGCTGGGGTTCCCAGCATTGCATACGATCACTTGACGCGAGATAAGGATGCACAAGATTTACAAATCTTTTTAGAAGTCGTCTCGCTGTATTTGACCTCGCTGTATTTGACCCTCCTTCTTGTATTTCTTTAACGCAGCCCAATCCAGAGGCTTCATCAAGTCAAAAATATAAACGAGCTCCTTTGAGACAGACATGACAGCGCCCCAGTTGTCGAACTCGCCACAATACTAGGGGATATTAGCAATCGCTTGAAAAAGCTACGAAAGCCAACTTACATTCGGCGCAGAGAAGACGGTTACTAGAGTCCGGTTTTGATAGAACTCATACCCATTCTTTACCACCATGTGGGAACGGCACACCATATCAAAGCCGTGTCGTTCTAAAAAGTTCTTGATGACCTTTTTACCAAAGCAGAAGCTTACACCGCGTTCATTGGGCACCCAATCTTCCTCTATGTCCACATCGGCCGGGTCACTCCATAAAAGATCGGTCAGTAGCCCGTGATCGGGTATATCAGTAGGGCGAGCGATACTGCGGATATCATCCATATGTAATAGATTAGGAGATAGCCCGCCGTGAACGCAGAATATCTTGTCGGCTACTATCGCCGCAATAGGGAGGCAGGTGAAAGTGTCGATGAGAAGTTTCCACATCTTAACATTGCAACGCCACTTGCACTCCTCATAGAACCCGCCCATTCTACTGACATTGGCGCACTCGTGGTTGCCGCGCAGTAGAAAGACTTTCTCGGGGTACTTGAGTTTATAGCATAGCAGTAGGATAATGGTTTCTAGGCTCTGTTTCCCTCGATCTACAAAATTGCCGAGAAAAAGATAGTTCGATTCTGGCGGGAATCCACACATTTCAAAGACTCGGATCAGATCGGTAAATTGACCGTGAATATCGCCGACGATTTTAACGGGCGCAGCCAACTCTAAGAGTACGGGCTGAGAAAGGAAGAGCTCACGAGCTAGTCCGCAGATGGCGGTGATCTCGGCATTCTCAAGACATACCGTCTTGGTGACTTTGGTCGAATATGCCATGTCTAGGAGTCGCGAGATCATATCGTCTAGGTGGATAGAGTTTAGAGCGCTCATTGCCAAATCGGGAGTTTCTGATTTATCCAGTGGAGCATTGTGTATGGAGTACAGAATCGAGAATGAGGTTTAACTCTCCAAAATGAGTTCACCTGTGACTTGAGAACTTTCAGCAGGTGATCCACCACTAGGGCCCTCCGGAACGCAGTCTACCTTGCTACCCTGTGGCATTGAATTCACAACCTTTACCTAGAACTTCAGACTGCTGGGCAGGAATTGCAATAGTGGGGGGGTCAGGGGTTTTTGCTATATTTAGCGTTAGGCGGAACACAGGTAAAGCCTGTGTCCTTATAACCTTCCAGGGTATGTGAACCTGCCAAGTTACCCCGCCCGATGCGCTGCCCAACTCCCACGGGACCAACTGTACAGCTATATACATGCGTGCAGCTACTCCGTACAGAAGACAACTCTAGGTGCGTTGATGACGCTGCCGGTTGGCTGCCAATCCTTCTCGGTTGAGATGACTTCCCATCGATTTCGCCCATGTGAAATACTGTTTTGCCCATGCGCAAGAGACTTGTAAGGAGAGAGAGTCCCAGGTCGCGCTGGGTTTGATAATCTTTCTACTTTAATGTTTGTAGTGTTTGGAGTATAACACCATCATCCGGGGGAAGTTCGCACAATCAGTTGGTTCGGGGGATTAGAGGTAGTTGATTCCCTCTCAATGTGTTGAGGGGTGGTAGCGGAGGCCTCTATATCCAGCCACCGTAAGAGCGCTAAGCCCTCCTACAGGTAGCGAGGTGTTCGGGGGCCTTTATTTGCGCGGAGGAGCACGCGACCATAGCGTTTTTATATTTGTTGGACGTTCCTTACTCCAAGATTCTAGCTCGTAGAGTGAGCTCTTGTCTAGGCTTGATTTCGTAGACGTCTGTACGCTCTAGGCTCTACACTAGACTCTGTACCAGGCGGGCAGCTTCTGTTCTTCTTCCCTTGGTCAATCAACTCGATTCGTATGTGCTGGGGATAGAAGAAATCGGGCGCTTGAAGCGCTATCGCAGAGAGTTTGCTCATTATTCGACCCTCTTCGGGGCACAACATGCAATCCCGTTGAACGCCCCAGAAGAAGTCCTTAGAGGCATTGTGACAGGAGAAAAAGTAGTGTCTGAACTCATCTGCAACCCGAAGGGCGAGGGCTGGAAGGACACAGCCTTGCAGAACCAGCTTCGCATCAAGCTGGGACGAAGCTACGATCCATCTTTCTGCCAATATGGGAATTAACGTATCGGATATAAAAGTATGGTATTTCAAGCCAACTATGCGACTTCACGATCGGCTAATCCACTTCCACGTTGCTAGACCAGCTTTCCGTTTGAAGTAAAGGCAATGCTAAGGTATCTTCTCAAGGAGGTGATCTACAAGGATTTGTTTGGAACGATCGATGAAGCCAATGCGATATTCAAACCCCTGGTTGAACAACCAAAATACCAGGGGAAAACGCAACAGTTGTAATAAATTTGGAAATACCTGCTATCAGCGTATAAGATGACACAAAAGCACGCAGAAGAACTATTCAAAGGAATTGTCAAAGGTATCTATTATTTAATACTTGGAAGATACCTGACAGAAGCTCACGGTTACCACGACTTGGAGAGAGTTGATAATTATTCCAACGCTGGGAGCTGCTCTAATTCAATCTATAAAAAATCTATATACTCAATTCCTCCCTCATCTATATGTTTATATCTAACCTACAGCTTCCCGAAAATCTTAAGCCTATCCTCAACGGGCTTCTGCACCTTCTCCCCAGCGGCAGCCTCAGGACTCCCAAAGACCAACTGAGCAACATTCCGCCACTCGCTGGGCAGATCCCACTTTCTTGCAACACCGGCGTCAATGAGCGGGCTATAGTGCTGTAGGTTTGCACCAAAGCCGAGCGCTTCAAGGCCTGTCCAGACTGGTAACCGTTAGATCGAGTAAAGAAATAATGCACAAAGAAGAAAAAAGGAAAGAGAAAAATAGACATACGGAAGTACTGGTGCATAGCATTGGTGTGGTCCTCCCACACTGGGAAATTATCCTTGTATGTAGGGAATTTTTCCTGAAGGGCTTTGGTGCCTGCTGGGTCCTCGTAGAAGAGGATCTGGAGATTTATTAGGTATTTGCAAGACTATATATCTCAAATTTCAAGGGCAAAAGCTAAATCCGAAAGCTCTGGAGGGAAAGACAAATTACATACCGTCCCATACGCCCCCTTGAAACCCAGCAACTTAGGCAACGTCTGCTTCTCCCATGTCTCTTGCGAAACCTTACCCTCCTTAACAAGACCTTCGAAAGCCTCAATGGCAATATCCCACAGTCTATCGTGCTGATCGTGCAGAAGTACGACTAGGCGTGTAGACTGGACATTAAATGTACTGGGAATATGCAGGATGGCGGCATTGACAAGCTCTTCGATCTTGGAGTCTGGGACTGGGCTTTTCTTGCCTAGCTTGTAAATGGTGCGCCTGTTCTTGGCTAGATCGATTATGTCGCTGGACATGTTTGCTGCTAGGGTTGAAGAGAATGAGCGGAGTGTTTGTGTTTGGTAGGGTTGGGTTCGATGTAGATAGGTTTGGCGAGCGGGTACCAGGCGTGTTGGACGGGTACTGGATAGTGCTGCGCGGGTGATGGCGTGTAGGGATTTCATGCGGGTTGTCATTTTGGGGGTTCAGGTGTGTTGTTTATATATGTAGGTTGGTTGCTCTTGGTGTGGGGGGTCTGTCTGTTATATACCCTACCATGCCAATGCGGCTAAGAATTGCACTAATGCACATACACGGGTAATAAATATGGTAACTGTTCCAATGCATACGATCAATTAAATACAGAAAATAGTATGATACACATTGGTAATTTATGAATATTGAATATTGGTATTTGTATTACTAGAAGGCTACCGCCAAATAGGCTGGTAGCTGAATTAGCGTGGGTTTTCTGGCATGGCAGGGTATGCTGGTGGAGACTTGCCCAGATAATCCACCTTTATCCGGAGGTTCCTATTTGTATAAACTGGAATACGGTACTCCGTAGTAAAATCTTTAGTATATATCCGGAAAGCCCTAGATTGTACGGAGCAGTGTGTACCGTTGACTTATATCATTATATATCGGGTTTTAACTATCCATGGATGCTATAAATATTTAATTTTTTTGTAAACGGCGGACCTGTAAATTACCATATGCGGTTAGTTTTGCCTTTTTGGGTTTAGCTCCCTTCAATGCCAAGTTGGAACATAAGGCGAGCCGCCCACGCCGTGCCTGCGACTTGAGATAACTACGGGGCACAACCTCACCCTTACACACCCGTTCTATGTATATACGTACTTTTAAAGACAGTTTTTGATAGAAGACTCGCAAGGTGCGTATACTTGCTGTCGATATTTATGGCAACCGCTAAGCCTTTACAGGTTGCCGTAAGCGTGCAGAAAAGTGGAAATCGAACACGCAAACATTAGATGGCATTCCTAAAAGAACGCGATAATCCACAGACTTCTCCGAACTGTGACAAATGTTGTTGTTCACCATGGGAAGTCTCGATATGTTACAAAAAGGGGGAGTGGGGAGTGGATTCGGGATATAAGCCCCTTGTCGGCTATGGTGACTCTATATGAGCAAGTCGAGAGCTAGCTAGCGAATGGTGGCGGGCTGACTTTCTTCAGCTCAAGATGGACCAAAGCCACTGTGATAGCATTACACGACACCTAGATAAGGTTGCTGCCAGAAACCTGTATTTACGTCGGCAAAAAAGTGCTGAAAGATGAACTACCCCAGCGGCCTTCCAAAATAAGGAATCCGTAACAGTTATACAGATAAAAGACCGTCCTTGAGCGCCCCTTCTACTTTTTCTTCTTTCCATATCTCTTTTTCCGCATATCATCTATTGCATCTTCATTCCAAAACTTCTGGACACAATGCAGAAGTTTCATACTCGGCTCGTGGAGCCACTGGAAAGCGACCCACTGTTCTCAGGCGAGAACATAGAGTTCAACGATCGCGAGCAAGCCAAGTCAATCCGCCCCATGAGAAGATTGATACTCTGTCTCGATGGTTCCTGGCAATCCTCCAACCATGGAGAGAAAAATATCGCGTCCAACATTGCAAAGTTGAGCCGCTCCATCGCCAGCTGCGAAAAGACCGACGAAGAAGTGATTCACCAAATCGTCTACTATGATGCAGGCGTTGGAACTGGGAATAGCGCCCCAAGAGAGGGTGCGTCGACGCCTGAGAGAATTCTGGCAAAGAGTCAGAAAGTCTTCGAAGGCTCCTTCGGAAGAGGAGTGGAGGAGAATGTATGCGAGGCCTATAACTTCTTGGTATGTTAGATCCCTGCTTTTCTTCTCAGTCATTCCCAAGCTCACTCATACAGGTCAGCAACTGGCTTCCCGGTGATGAAATATTCATTTTCGGCTTCTCACGCGGTGCATACACAGCTCGCGCGGTGGCAGGAATGGTCTGCAACATGGGAATTTGTTTCCCAGACATGATGGATGATTGGTGGGCGATCTACGACGAGTACAAGAAGAGGGTCTCCAAAGAAGAGAAGCCAAAGCCTCACCAAAACGGCATGCATGTTCCGGATGGCATTCAGCAAAGCACCTGGGGCCTGTACAATGTGAAGAAGGACTGGAAGGACCGCTTCTACAAGAACGTGGAGATCCAAGTCGTTGGCGTGTTTGATACCGTCGGTGCCCTGGGATGGCCATCCAACAAGTATGTGTCGGTGGATCAGAAAAACGAGGCCAAGTACGGCTTTCACGACACCAACCTGCACAAGAATATCAAGAACGCCTTCCATGCCCTGGCTCTTGATGAGCACCGACAGGCATTCCCTCCCACTCTGTGGTCCCTTCCTAAGGGTGTTTATACCAATCTGGTGCAATGCTGGTTCCCTGGCTACCATATCAACATCGGTGGTGGTAGTGAGTCTACTATGGAGCATTACGGTGATATGGAATCCATGGCCAATCTGTCGTTGGTATGGATGATCGATCAAATCCGCAAACACACCAATGTCACCTTTGAGACCTACGCGCTGGCACAGTTTTACCACCACTACACCTGTACTATCGTGGACCTTTCACAGCGTGCCTTCAAGGAGGGTGATTCCAAATGCCGTATTGCGAAAAAGTTGGACCCGACCAAATGGAGCCAGGACGTGCCTGATCCCAAGAACCCCACCGCGTACGGCGGTTGGGGCATGGGGTACCGACCTGATAGCATCGACTCTATGACGGGTTACAGCGGGTCTGTCATTCGCACTCCAGGTCAATACAAGAAGGACGGAGATACAAAGGAGTTCATTCACCCTGTCGTTGCATATGCAATGGGCAAGTCGTACCGCGAGGCGCACGGTGAGGGCAAGGTCCTAAACTACCAGCCCGCCGCCCTGAAAGGCTTCAAGCGAGTGAAGGATCCCAAAGTCCCATGTTCCTGGTCGGATAACGGACTGCAGACTCTGGAGGGCTGGTACTGGAGAAAGCAAGCCAAGGGCGTTAAATATGCCGACACTTCATACCTGACCTGCATGAGCAACTGGTACAACTCCTCCTGGCCCCCAGAGGAAGATCAAGACATCCTCATTCCTGAGATGGACTTGTGCGAGGATAATGATTCGAACATCTTCAATGAACGGGATTACATGCGCGCGGATTGGCTCGCGTTGAGAGCTTCCCTGGTTGGATTCCCTGACGATGTCCACCTCGCGATCCAGAAATGCGTCCTGCCAAAGGACAACTCCGCCTCGGAGGATACTGTGCGACGAGAGAACATGTTGCTGAATGCGTTAAAATATGTCACCGAAAGACATCGTGGCAGCTCTCATCTGTAAAAGTCATTAATCTATGCTCTTCGTCGAACGGACTCCACTGGGCTTAAGGTAGAGGAGAAGCTGAAGTTACTGGAACAGACAGGGGACCGCACCAGAAAGTTCTTAGAGAGCTGGGATTTTTGATACACATGTACATCGAGATATTCGCTTAGCATTTTTCAGATCCTCGATAGCGAGAATCAATCTTGTAAATTATTTTCTTTTTTCCAGGTCAATGTCATCCTTGTCAACTGGAAATTGTACTTGCTTCGAGTTCAATCATTCGCTTAGCGAATCTTCCTGCCTGAACAAATAGTGAGACAGCATCCCATATAAACTCCTCTCATCTGTATCGTAGATTCCGACTTGTACTTTTTCCTACTTTTGGTTGGAATCCTGGCTTTGTTGACACTCATCACAGGACTTTGTTGATCACGTGTTATTGCAAGGATACACGTCGCATCAGTTCGGTTGACAATCCCCTGAATCATATTTCCCTCGAAGCACAGGAACAGATCAAAGCTCGGTCACAGGCCGTCCAAACATTCCTTGAGTCATCCTTGGCGTGAGGCTCTGCTCAGGTCCTCCATTCGGATCAAGGGGAACGCGTTTCTGTTACTGTGACCCAATCGAGTCCCCGACGTCACTAAAGCAGAATTACGGATTCATCTGACTCATTACAAATATGATCCAATTTGCTTCAAGAACATTTTTTCAGAAACTTCACATCGTTTCGCAGTGCGGGTTCAAAACGTCTTTCGAACTTCTTACCCTAACACAACCAGCCTATCTACCCGTTCAGCCGACCCGCCTCCGCTATGGCCCACATCTCACCAGCAGTGATCAAGGTCCAGGGTCCCTGGGAAGCAACCAAACTTGACCATGAGTCTTGCCTGAAAGATCAACTGCAATCCATCTCTCCCACAGTTACAAACTTGGTGATAGATGAGGACACTCCATCAGACGCAGAATGGGCATTACTCGGCGGTCATCTAAAGAATGTAGAGGAGCTGGAGCTAGAAAGCGGATTCAACGAAGATCTCAATGACAAGAAACTCCCTCTTCACTGGCCTTTGAAGAAATTGACCCTGAGCTCTGCTTGTGGTGAACTCATCCAAAGCCCATTCATCCGTCAGGGATTGGTTTCGCACTTGTCCCTGTTTTTCACGTGCAACCTTCGATTCGAGGGCCCTACAACCGACGAGCTTATTCGACTACATAACGAATCAACAACTCAAGAAACGAATGAGAACGAAGACACCTATAAGGGGATCAAGATTACTTATGTACCTGAGCTTGTGCTCAACCACATGCAGAAGATCTACGCAGATCCTGATCGCAAGCCCGAGAACGAACCACCTGCCGGTCCTATCAACCTGAAGACACTAGAAATTTGGGAAAACGACGCGCTTGACACATTCTGCCGCATCTCCGCCGCCCTCCCGCATATCGTTGAAAACCTTCATACCTTGCGACTTCGGTCCACCTCGGGCATCGATTGGGGGTTGATGTCAGAAGAGACATTTCGTCAACTCTTGCCGCTCATGGAAAATCTCCAAGTGCTTAACTTCACTGTGGGTGAGATTTTTGAAGATCCTCAGTTCTTGCCCACTTTTCACAAGCTTCTCCCACCAAACCTGACTACCCTGTACTTTCGTGGGCCCGTCTCGCTGGCCACTTCAGAACATTGGGCCGGCTGGCTACAGGCTTTCAGATCGCCCACCTTTCTTCCGAAGCTTGAGCGTCTTGCCTTTGTTCTTGATCTTCATTATGGAGAGAATGACTCTGCCACATGGGGTAAGAAGGAGACTCCGGCACCAGAGAACCTACTGCAAGAAGCACGCCGGGGGTGTGAGACCCTCTATAGAATTGCCTGGGATCGTGGTTTAGTCGTGGAAAATATGCCGACGGAGCCTTCTTCTAAATTACTCAGATGTGTGGACTCTCGTTGGTAATGGAATGTGTTTTTATGAAGAAATGTCTCCTTTTATTTGTATCGATAGCCTGAGCGTTAGCATGCTGAGGCTCTATAAATGAATTTCACTCCACCGAGTGAAATCCTAGCGTATGAAAAATAACAAACCCGTATGAGAATGGATCACGAAGAGAGCCCCGCCTGCTTTTCCGAGTTGTTTTGATCTACTTATGTCAATAGTCGAGATTATGCTAACTGGAGCTCTGAAGAGTACAGAATGGAACGAGAAAGTCGCTCACCAGACAACCTGCCTGACTTGGGCGTTTTCGCGAGTTGCAAACGAGTCTCAAGCTACTAACTAGATCAGGTAGCCCGCCCGCCACAAAAGCCTTCGCCCTATTGAAAAAAAAAGAGAGAGAGAAAGATGTGGAATTAATAGAATGGAAGTGCATCGTGTACCTGAACTAGTCGATCCCTAGGAACGAAAACTATCATGGAAACAATTGACTCCTCAACACTGCGAATAGGTGAGGAAATAAATGTAATCATATTCTAATCATTCTCACGCATTACTGTCGAGATTTCATGTCTCAAGAAGGTGCCCTTTGATACTGAGACAAATTGGGCAAATATGAAGCATTTCCTAGGATTCGGCAAGATTTGTACTATTCCCTGAATATCACAGGGATCATTCTTAACCGCTTTAGATACTTTTTTGTACGGGCCATCTGTTTATGCGAGAGGGCAGCGGCCCTATCTGTTCAAGGCTAATCCGCGATGTCGTGTTTGAATGTTAAAATTGACATTCTGCATAGGATGTGAGGGTCCCATACAGAGGAAGACCCACTAACTTCTATGGAGAGTCCTTGATACCTGCTAATTGGCCAGTTAAAAGGGTTGGATTTCGTAATTCTGTAGTTCTGTCTACCCAGCACCTAGTATCATCCTGTTATAGGTTTAATACATCTCTACATTACACCACATGCGAAGTTCTAGAAGACGTTTAGCTAGGATATCCAATAAAGTCCTGGTAATAAACAACGAAGCCCAGCTAATGCTGAGTCGATGGAGGCAGTGTATCCTACAATATAAGTCAGTATCTGCGACATCTAGGCAGCTTGAAAGCTGACGACTTGAAGCCGATTGGAGCAAACACTAGAGCTAATGTGCTTTAGACCCTTTTTTGGCGGCTGGAAATTCGCTGGTGGTGGTCCAATAATCACTAAGCCGATGACTGACAGAAGAGTCTCACAAAAATTCCTGTGAGGAAATGATCAACAACCACTCCCCGAAGATCGTAGATGGCGGCATTCATAACACCGTGAGAGGTGCTCAAGTACCGTTGCATTTCCCATACTGATTTGAAAGGGCCAATAATGCGGCGAAGCTGACGTATCTGAATACTTCAATGTCATTCTATTCTGTCAAGTCCCAACTCCTCACAGCACACGGGGAGATGCCCGCATGCAAGGGCAGGAAACTGAGAACATACGGTCAAAAGGATAAAACAAAAGTACTATAGACAGCCATAGACAACCAGACTAAGTAAATAAAATAAAGGCTGTCGATCAGTTGGGGCTTGGCATGTAAAATGGAGAAGCTGGGATTGCTGAATGTGTATAATAATAGACTCAACTCCGCACATCTGTCCTGGAATATTAGTGCATATACTAGTGCTTCAAAAGAACCCTGTATACAGCGGGTAAAACGGGTAAAGCGGGTTCTCTCAATTGCTTCTTAAATCCGACACTTTTGAGTCATTGGATTTTCCTCGTTCAAAAAACGCGCGTGGCAAACCATTTGAACGTCTCATCCTAATTTTACCCTTTTTCCACATTGGATGATTTAAATTACATTGCACCACACACACCATGACAGAGAAGAATGAAGACCCTGAGACTTTGCACGACCGACAATCTTCCATTGAACCCCCGCCCAACGGAGGAGTGAAGGCATGGACACAAGCCATGATGGGCCATCTAGTGGCATTCAACACCTGGGGGTACATTGCGAGCTTCGGTGTTTTCCAGGCTTACTACCAATCTACGCTTGGCGTTTCACCATCAGCTATTTCATGGGTTGGGTCCGTACAAGTTTTCCTCATTTTCTTTGTTGGGACATTCTCCGGTCGGGCGTTGGACGCGGGCTTCTTTCGCCCAGTCTTTTATGCAGGGGTCCTTCTGCAGCTCCTCGGCGTATTCATGACTTCCCTCTCGACGCGCTATTGGCAGCTCTTCCTTGCTCAGGGGGTCTGCACAGGCCTTGGCAGTGGCCTACAATTTTGTCCCGTGATGGGATTGGTCGCTACCTACTTCTCTGGGCGGAGGGTGTTTGCCCTGGCGTTCTGTCTGGTGGGGAGTGGGACTGGAGGCATGCTTCTTCCCGGCTTGGTGAAGGCCCTTATGCCGACGATTGGATTCGGTTGGACGGTTAGGGTGTTGGGGTTTGTCATGCTCGCTACGAGCATCCCTGCTATATTCCTGCTGCAGACTCGACTACCCCCACGCAGGGCTGGCCCGCTTGTTGATTGGGTGGCGTTCAAGGAACCGACCTACGTGCTTTTCTGTCTGGGCATGTTTCTGAATTTCTGGGGGTTATACTTCGCCTTCTATTACATTGGTGCTTTTGGTCGCAGTGTTCTCGGTCTGACATATTCGGAATCGACCAATTTGATCATTGTAACCAATGGAGCAGGAATTTTCGGTCGCCTTATCCCTGCCTATTTGGCTGATCTCAAGTTTGGACCCCTCAACACCATCATTCCCCTCACACTCGGCGCTAGTTTGATGATGTTTTGTTGGGCTGCCGTCCATTCGACTGCAGGCTTGTACGTCTTTGCCGTACTGTATGGCATATTTTCCAATGGCGTGCAAGGCCTCTGGCCATCAACACTCTCTAGTCTTACACCCGACCTAAGCAAAACTGGAGTCCGCATCGGCATGGGCTTTACGGTTGTTAGTTTTGCCTGTCTGACTGGTCCACCTCTTGGTGGAGCTCTCATTGCTAGGGCTGACGGCTATATTGGAGCGCAGATCTGGGGCGGGTTGACCTTCTTTCTCGGCGCCATGGTTCTGGTGGCTGCTCGTCTAATGAAGACTGGTTCAACAATGAGGGCTAAGGTCTGATCCAGCTCGCCTATGTCAATCCTAAGAAGATCAGACGCAGCGTTCTTCATAAAACTATGACTTATCTCTTTGTCTTCTTAACTAAATACACCCTAACACTCGGATGTAAAAATAGGAAAATGAATATGGGATATTGGTCTTAATGTACTTGATCTAAACAACAACCTAGTATCGTCACTTTCCCGATGCGCGGCGCAAAGTCGGAGAAATGCCAGATTGGAAGTTTAACCCCCAGATTGTTTCTGCGGAGAACATGATGATCGTCGTGTTACATGCATGAGATTGCATATCTTGGCTGAAGACTCGAAGTCAATTAGCTTCTTTAAAAGCGGGGAGAAGAAGGTACCTATACACCACCGGCCAATACTAACACTACTCTCTGCCAAAAACCCCAACGTTGGTCATAGAATGACTAAATCTGAAAGCTAGGAAGACCTATAGGTATCTTCACAGTAATTCCGACACGGCCACACTTCATTCGATGATTTCCATTTTTGGTAGTCAAATATACGCTCTCATGAGAATATCCATCTCCTTGACCAATCCACTCATTAATCCTTTCTCAGAAGTGCCATCACTACCACGCTACAATGGCAGCGCCAACAACAAAGGTTACATCCGTGAAGCATTATTGCGTGAATATGTGGGGGTGACAGGCATCTTCAATCTAATTCAGGACATTGCCATCCTTCCGGGCATGTCGTGATTTTCGGGAGATGCATATGATTATAATTAGAATACTTGCTCGTAACCGGATAAATTCCTCTTATCCCTGTCTGAGGAGTACTTTTGGAGAGTTAATTCCTATAAAGGGAGCATAAAATCAGTCATTTTTTTTCCGATAGGTGTTAGAGATAAATCAGAGTGAGAACTCACAAAGCCGCTACTACATAGCATCTTCTGTCCACAATGCCTCAAACATCACATCAATCTCCCGCATCTTCTTCCTCTTCTTCTCCCCCTTCTCTAGCTCCCAATATCGTTGTTGTGGGAGGTGGTGCCAGTGGCCTTTCGGTTCTTCTTCAGCTTATTGAGCGAGTGAAAGATGGCAAGCTCCTTCGAGAAGTGGTTGTTCTGGAGAAGAGAGAAATCCCAGGACCGGGATTAGCATACTCAGATGCCTGTGCTGGTACTATCCTCAACATGCATTCGGATACAATGGGGCTATACTTTGACAAGCCCTACGATTTCACCCAATGGCGCACAAACCTGGTAGATGGCCCATTTCCTTCTCGCGAGAAGTACGGAGAGTATCTTCAGGCGACATGGTTCCAAGCGATCGAGCAAGCTCGGAGCATTGGTCTGACAATTTCCGTTATCCATCAAGAAGCCAACGAGATTGATCGAATGAGCGATGGAACACTCCTTCTGACACTTGAGAGCGGAGAACAACTCAGATCCCAATCTGTTATTTTGGCATTGGGAAACTTCACCGCTGTCTCCAACACCCATCTCATGAACCAACCCGGGTTTTTTTCAAGTCCCTGGCCTCTGTCAAAGTTGGATTCGATTCCCCTCGACTCCCCTGTCCTCATTGTCGGTTCCCGTCTTTCGGCTGTTGACACCGCAACATACCTTTCAGATAATGGTCACCGGGGTCCCATAACATTCATTTCCCGCAGTGGTAGACTTCCCAAAGTCCAGGGTAGCTCGGCTACCTACCCCCGCCGCTATGCATTGCATAACCTCGCGAAAGCAGTTGAAGCCAGCCCCGAAGAAAGCATGTTTCAAGTGACGAGTGGTCTTATGAACGAGCTTTCACAAGCCACGGATGGTGACTGGAGCTGGATCCTCGACGACAAATCTCCTGTAAAACAGCTGCAACAGGATATCCAAGCTGCACAGGATGACCAAGTCCAGTGGCAGGCAGTGTTGAGGGGAACAGCGCCTATCATCGAGCGATATTGGAACTGCCTATCTTCAAAGAGCCAAGAGCTTTTTATGAAGCAATTCTACAGTATCTGGATGAGGTTTCGACACGCCATGCCCGTGCAGAATGCGCAAAAGATTCTCAAACTGCTGGAAGGGTCCCAGCTTCGCGTTGTCCAGGGACAATATGTGCGCTGGGATGGCACTTTCAAAGCAGAAACTTCGGCAGGGCTAATCGAGACCCCATACCTTATCGAGGCTACGGGTCAAGAATGCTGTCTCGACCGTATTCATTCCCCATTGATTCAGTCAGCCCTGAAAAACAAGCTCCTCAAGCCACATCCAGGCGGTGGGGTAGACGTCGACTTCGATACTTTGCGCGCCTCACCGGGACTATATGTTATTGGATCGCTCACTCGCGGTAGACATTTCTACGTGAGTGCTATTGATCGTATTGCAGCGCACGCTGCTCGAGTGTCGTATGCGATAACACAAGAGCCTTGTGCACGCTCGTTACATGTGGCTATATTCTGCGGAAGTGATCTTTTCTCCCATCTCATGACCAGTAAGCTGGTTGTTCAGCTCCTCGCCGCAGGTCACGTACCTTTTGTCTTCTTGCCCCATCATAAGGGCGGCCGCAAAGCCACTCCTTTTGAGCTACGTGAGCTAGCCTTTTTTGAAAGAGAGCTGCTTCAGCAACATGTCATTCCGTACTTTACCAATAAAAATCCCGAGGGCGCTACGCATATGACAGTCCAGCAAATGCGGAATGCGTATGGAATCCTCGTTGAGGAGGTACCCAATGTGAACAAGGATTGTTTCATCGAAAGCCTGGCCAAACATCACATCGACGTGGGGCTGTCATTGCGATGCTACCAACGCTTCAAAACAGACATTATCCGTTACTTCTCCTATCCTCGAAGGTTACTCAACCTTCACCCGGGTACACTTCCAGCCTACCGGGGCGTCATGACGACCGTCCGAGCTATGAAGAACAAAGAAACACACTTCGGGTATTCGCTCCATGACATCGATGAGAACTGGGACTCAGGAGATGTGATCGATATCCGAACACATCCTATCGACTATGACAAGTCAATGCTGCATTACATGGGTGATGTGTACAGCATGGGGGTGGAAATAGCGGCGGATGCTATCGATACACTTGCCAGGGGAAAAGAACTACCCAAAACACCACAGAAGGCTGAGGCGAGTGGATACTACACCTTTCCGACAAAAGAAGAATTGGACGATATTCGAGACAGTGGAATTCGTCTGGTGCATGGGCAAAGTATTGTCAATATTATTGTTGAGTCTTTTGCATCGCCTAAGGAGCAGGACAACTTCCGTGCATATATTCTTGGGGCTGTTCAGGATTGGTATAATCGGAATTTGTCCTAGTTCCCTCATATGAGGAGTATAGGAAAGTATAGGATCAAAAGGGAAAGAAAATGCCTGTGACTATAGGTCCCATGTGGGTTCATCAAGCATAGTTCGACAATCTGCAGCTGGGGTTAGTCAACTTGGTACTCTCCCTGGATAAGAGAAATAGAAAAAGTCTCACTCTATAAGGTTTCCATCAGGATCTCTCACGTATACACTGCGAATCTTCCCAACGGCCCCGGTTCTTTCTACAACCTTGGCGCCTTCTAGAATCTGTTGAGATCAGTTATTATCTAGACCATATTCGAGAGACTGCTTAGTCATACTTCAACTCTCGCATCCTGAAATACTTCCAAGACCTTTTCCACATTCTCATCTGTCAAAAAGCACAAATCGGCACTTCCTGGCATAACGTCCTGGGCCTTGGGTTCGAATTCCTTGCCTGATTGGTGGAGATTGATTTTTTGAGAGCCAAAGATGAGGGCATGTCTATTATCGTCAATGCCTTTTACCCAGCTACTAAAAACAAAAAGAGGGGTTACCTCTGAACGGATTGGTTAGCTGGTGAAGTAAAGATTTCATGCCGCATGCCGAGGTAAGTTGTATAGAATGCCACAGTTTTGGGAATATTGCGGACTGTTAAGACTAGATGGTCTAAAGATTTGACGGCAAATTTCCCAGCCATATTTGCGTACTCTGTACGGAGTAACCAGTAGATGTGATGATATTCGGTTGCCTAAAAGAGCCCAGGGGCCTCAGGAGACCTCGGGAGGGCCGTGGGGCATGACTCATCAAATCTAGACTTAGACTACTTCACCTGGGTTCGGGCTACTTGACTTGGGCAATATATCCGACGTTGTTTTCTATACTTTTGGATTATATACGGGGTCCTCCGTAGTCTAACTATTAGGGCATTCACGATTAAGAGGGGTATGACAGGTGGCTGAATCCTTCCTATCAAATCAAAATGCATCATTCACGACAGGATGCAGCCACAAGTGATTATTCCATTTACCCCGCTGAAGTTCTGAGATAGCTTCATGTATATTCCTTGGCATCCTGTGGCTCAGCATTTAGTGAGATTATCAGGCATTGGATGATATAAATGCCGCAACAAGGATATGTAGCGCAAGATACACACATACAACCCACCCCTGGAGGTATAAAGAGGCACCCCGCATAGGCCCAGCGCATACGCTTTGCGAACAAACACCGCACCATGTCCTACACCTACTACTCTAACGCCCGACTATCGCACGCATACACCTCCAAGCCCCGCAAAACCCTCCGATCACCAAATCGCGACATCGCCTTCCGCAACCAATACATAGCGCGCTCAAAGACAACCCTCGTGCTCAGACCGTTTGGTAGCCCCCACTCTGCCGTCGCATATAAGATTACCGAAGAGGATGGAACGCCACAGTTCACGGTAACCGGTCGCAAATACACTGATCGCTCGTGTCGAGAGTTCCGCGATGACTCGGGCCTACCGCTCTTCGAACTGCATCGGAAATTGTCGTGGACGAATAGTTGGTCGGTTAGCTTGCCGGGCTGTGATACTGCGACGATAGCCACTGGCGCTCCACGATGGACACTGGGGAATACTTCATTTGGGAATTTTGATCTTTCATTTGAGAATGCGGCTGCATTTGAGGGGAAACGCGTGGATGAGAAAATGCTCACTTTGAATATTGAACGACATGGGAATGCGCTGGCGCTTTTTGATATCGTTGATGGGGATAGGAAGGTTGCTGAGGTCCGGGAGAGTATCCATCATAATGAGAAATTGGCTTTGATGAGAGGCTCTAGGCAGGGATATCGACCTGCTATGGATGTCATTGTAATGCCTGGAGTGGATATTTCGTTGGTGAGTACTCGAGTAGGATTTCTTTTTGGTTGTATAGATTGACTGACATCTGTTTATTTAGGTTGCGACTATCGCTGTTATTGTATCTGACTGGGTTTTTGGTTCCAGTTGAGCTTCTTTTCCTTGATTGATCTAAGCATAAACCAAGCAAGTCAAGCAAATGCCAAGGTGTTTCTAGTTCTTATTTTGGGCTTGGCAGGTATCTGAGGAGCTGACCTTCTCTATCCACCTCATTTTACTCCAAGATTTTAGCATATTCGGTTGCTTTGTGGTGCAAATAAAAGCATAAGTCCCACAATATTATGAAAGAGTGAATACTCTTCTCTCATGAATCTTCATGCTATTATAGTACTACCTATTATAGATATATCTTATGCCGATCTATTCTGGCTGTTGACGAACTACGAGAGCCATACAAATCCGTCGATAGAATCTGCAAAAGTGAACACTAAGCCTTGAAAATCTTTATCTATCACCATGGTTCATCCTAATAGTCGGCACTATGACAAAGGAAGTCTACGTACAACATAAACCAGCACTGCAGTCATGACTCTATTCCGCGAGTCAATGATCTTCTGACGATAATTTCTACATGTTTGTCCGCCTCTTGGGAACTTCATGTGCATAACTCTTCGGAGATAACTCGCGATTTTTTTTTTTTGAATTTTATCATACCTAGGAAAGGTGGGTAAACAGTACATCACCCTAGCATCCCAGCGAGGTTCAATTCTACCTAGTAGGTAGGAAGCGTGCTTTGCTGACTACCAAGATGTCATTTGCTGAACAATCAGGTGCCAACGTCATTTGACAATGGAGAACCGGTGTCTTTCCCTGTTTCGTGTTAGATTTTTATGGCTGTAGCTCTAACTTTAGCTTCTTCAATCAGTCAATCTCACATTCAACCATGCATTTTGACATCGCCCTCTGGGCGTCTCTCAACATTTGTATAGCGTGAAATGCCGTACCTTGCTTTCCCTTCCTGGGAAATATATCTCGATACCGTTCAAAAGACCATCAGATTTCAAGTACGCAACCGTTGTATACTAAAGTGGGCTTGATTCCTATGAGAAGCAAACTGCCTATCTACTAGCAAACTGAGGGTTTGATGCCTGAGGCACCTATTTATTGTCGGTGCATGAAGCCCGGCATACCGGAGGATTTATTAATCCTTCATGTTTTGTAATTAATATTATATAATCGAGGCTTTATATAAATTGTACCCGGAAGCCGATACAGAAATACAGAGAGTTGAAACCTATTTCATTGGACTAGACTGCGACATCGCCCGTCCATGGGCACTAGAAAGTGTCCACGGCCCGTGGGCCTTTTGAAATTTGACGCCCATCGCCCACCGTTATGCAAAATTAATGCAAAAATTACCCTATTAGGCTATTTTATGTACATAAATAGTTCTTGGCAGTATCCACCTTGCCAAGAGTGCCCGCATATGTCTTGGCGACGCTAAAAGTGTCTCCACTTTGGTGGGCGTTGTCGCAGTCTACCTATAGGATCAGTTTAATCTCTAGATTTTTAATAAACCAGGGGAGGTCTTACTGTAGTAAGTATATATAGTAAGCGTTACCAGCGCAGTAAGTAACGTATTTCACAAGCGAGCCGCCCACACAAGCGAGCCGCCCACCTATCCCAACCCATTAATTTTAAATGCATTTATCTCAACCAAAACGCCATTAAATTAATTGCACTGACTAATTGGTCTATCTGGACATGTTTCTCTTCTATGCCCTGGCAATCTGCATATTCCACACCCCCGGGGGGCCGTGTACGTGGCTGAATAGCCGATTCTCCAGGTATACTGGGACCCGGAGGAGGTGCTTCACCTGCTTCCTGTTGCTGTATAATTAATACAGAGGCTTCTTCAACTGAAAGGCCTTCTTCAGCAGGTATCTGCCTCCGGGATCGAGTACGCTTTTGCTTCTGCTTCTCGTTGGCGGCACGTAAATCGCTTACTTCTTTCTCGAGAAAAGCAGCAGACTGCATAGTGATTTGACAGGCTTTTAAAACCTGATTTATCGCGCAATTTAGCGGACTCGGAGGGCTCCTCGATCTAGTACGAAGCAAAGCTTTAATTGACGAAGCTTGCTTTTGTAATTGCACGTAATTCGAGGGCGTTTTTGGGTCCCAATCGCTCCCCCTACTTGGAGGGGGGGTAGGAGTTCGAAGACGAATATCAAGCTTCGAGATCACTCGATTAGGTGCAAAAGGTACTAGACCAGCTGCTCCGAAGCTATTCTTGATAGTCTCTAGTTTAAAAGCTTCAATCCGTGCGAGGGGGTATGCTTCGAGGAAGTCAAGTTTGTCGATATAGTTGATTCCATTTCTCATTTTTGTCTCCACTAGCCGACCATATGATCGTTTTAACACAGCAAAACAGCCAATATCGAGAGGCTGTAAAAGGTGAGAGGAGTGCGGAGGCATACAAATTGGTATAACCTTATTTTGCTCGCAAATTTCATCGAATTTAGGGGTTAAATGGCTTCCATGTCCGTCAAGAACTAGAAGCCTATAACCCCCCTTCGTACGTAGAGAAGTGCTAGGAATAAAGAGCTTTTCAAGCCAGCGAACTCCTATTTCATCTGAAGTCCAACCATTAGGACTAACTTCAATTCGCCAGTCGTTTGGTAGGCCTTCGAACCATGATTCCAAGTAGACTTTGCCTTTGAAAATGATACACGGTGGGAGGGCCCAACCCGATGAATTTGTACACTCAATAGTAGTCACCCACTCGCGATTTCCAGGTTGTAAAAGCGAGCGCCGACCGTAGAATTCGCTCCTCGTGATCACCTTCGCTGTGGAAATTAACCCCATCGCGAAACCAGTCTCGTCGAAGTTATAAACGTCATCGGGGTCGATCCCAAATTGAAGGATAGTTTTTTGAACGAGATCAAACCATTCACAAATGATTTTTGGGTCTTCACACTTCGCACGTTCGTAATTATAGCGTCTCGAGAATCGGGAGGAGAGATCAGGGTATCGTTTTATAAAATTCGTAACCCAGTTTTCGCCGACCGAAAGAGCTGGGGTTATTCCACGTTGTTGAAGTAAAAGATTCGCCATTTCTCGTACAGTAGCAGGGCGGGGAGCTGCTCCACGAGAATCCATAGAGAGAATCCATTTTCGAAGAGATTCCTCTTCTATTTCTGTCAATTTATGGGAATTTGCGCGTGTAGTGCTTCGTTCAGTGTGGCCGGAGAGGCGATCGCGTAAAGTTGTACGCGGTATATTAAAAACGCGCGCCACTTCACGAATTGAAGAGATTTCTTTATTCTTAAAAGCCTGAATAGCTAAAAGAATCCTACCCTCTTGCTCAATTGAATTCCGAGAGCTTTGAGAGCGAGTTGGTGGCATAGTGGGTGGTTGAATTGACTAAGTGCGAATCCCGAGACGTGTTTTAGTTTAGGTGGGCGGCTCGCTTGTGTGGGCGGCTCGCTTGTGAAATACGTTATAGTAAGTGTAACGAGTGCACCTATATTAAAAGCAGCGAGGTCCTCGGTAGACTTCGGCACAACCCACTCTGACCCGGACCCAACCTAACCCAACCCAACCCAAAATGGGTTTTGGGTCTATTGCTTCGACCCAACGATGGGTTTTGGGTTATAGCTTATAACCCAAAACCCATTGGGTAACCTATTGGGGCCCCAATATAGTGTAAACCAGACAAACAGACTTCTAGCGTGTAACTGTATAATTAATATATTTTTTGCTTGTAATATTGAGTATTTTACTTACAGCGCTCTTCTAGAAAAAATGGAGAATAAATCAAATAATTAAACCAGGATATATTTCTCTAATATTGCTCA